TGGTGGCTGCCTCAATGAATGTATGAACGGTTAAGAACAAAAGAGGCAGCAATAATCACCTGCTGTAGGATAACAATTGCATAATAATAGTGATTTAAAGAAAAGAGTAATTAGATTTTAATTTAAAATAGATTGCATAAAAATTCACACTCGTATCTTTCCTAATCATGTTGCACAAGAACATGAGAAGTAGGAGCAGGAATAAGCCATTTAGACCTCAAGTCTGACCTACCATGCAACAAGATCATGACTGATCTGCCCCAGACATAAACTTCTGTTTGTCCCAGCTTATGATAGCCCTCAACTCCCTGACATTTCAAAAATCTATCTACCTCCCCTTTAAATACTTTCACAACTCCACAACTCTCTGAGGTTGAAAATTGCAGATATTCACTACCCACTGGGAGATGAAATTATCTTCACATTTCAAGTTTAAATTAGTATTCCCTTATCCCGTAACTATGCCTTCTAATTTGAGATTTCATCACTAGTGGAGATATCCTCTCAATATCTACACTGTCAAGCCCTGTCAGAATCTTGTCTGTTTCAATAAGATCATCTCTAACTCTTCTAAAATCAATAAATAAAGGCCTAACTTATCAAAACCTTCATCCCAGGAATTAGCCTAGTGAATCTGCTTTTGAACTGCTTCCAATGTCTGGATTCAGGGTCCAAAATTATACACAGTACCTCAGGTTTGGCCTCACCAACACCCAGTACAGTTGTAACAAGATTTCCATATTTTTAAACTCCCATCCCCTACCAGTGAATAGCAAAATCCATTTACCTTCTTAATTACTTGCTGCACCAGCATGCTAACTTTTTTGTATTTCGTGCAGAAGAGCATCCAGAAACCTTTGTGCTGCAATATTTTGGGGATTCTCCATGTAAGTGAGGGTCTGCCTTTTGATTCTTCCTACCAAAATGCATGACCTCACACTTTCCTCCATTAAATTCCATCTGCCAAGTTTTTGCCCACTGATTCAACGAATCTATTTCCCTTTGTCGATTCCTTTTGTCCTTATCACAACATGCCCTCCCACCTATTTTTGTACCATTGGCAAACTTGGATTTATTACACTGCTGCCTCCTCCAAGTCATAGAGTAAAACAACATGGAAACAGGTCCTTTGGCCCAAATTGGTCCATGCTGACCATGGTATCCACTCAGATAGTTCCAATTGCTCGCATTTGGTCCATATCCTCCCCATCCATATACCTATCCAAATGCTTATTAAATGTTGCTATAGTAGTGCCTCAACCACTTTCTCTGGCAGCCGATTCCATATATGTAGCACTCTCTGTATGAAGAAGTTGCCCCTCAAGTCCTTCTTAAATCTTTCCCCTCTCATCTTAAACCTATGCCCTCTAGTTTTCAATTCCCCATCCTTGGGAAAAATACTATATGCATTCATCCTATCTATGCCCCTCATATACCTCAATAAGGTCACCTCTCATTCTCCAACGTTCCAAGGAATAAAGTCCTATCCTGGCCAACCTCTTACTATAACTCAGGCCTACTAGTCCTGGCAACATCCTTGTAAATCTTCTTTGCACACTTTCCAGTTTAACTACATCTTTCCTATTAACAGGGTGGCCAAAACTGTACACAATACTCCAAGTGCAGCTTCACCAACGACTTATACAACTGTAACATAACGTCCCAACTCCTATACTCAATGCCTCAACCGATGAAGGCCAGCATACTAAATGCCTTCTTCACCACTCTGTCTACCTATGACCCTGCTTTCAACGAACTATGTACTTGTACTGCTAGGTCCCTCTGTTCCACAATACTCCTCAGGACCTTACCATTTACTGTATAAGTCCTACCTTAGTTTGAATTTCCAAAGTACAACACCTTACACTTCTCTGCATAGAATATAGATATTAAATAATTGAGGTTCTGGGACTGTTCTTGTGGCATTCCATTAGTTATGTCTTTCCAACCTGAAAAAGACACATTGATCCTGACTGTCTGTCTTCTATGTGTTAACCAATCCTCAATCCATGCTAATACATTACCCCAATACTGTGAGCTCCAATCTTGTGTAACAACCTTTTATATTGCACGATGTCAAATTTGGAAATTCAAATTCACTACCTCAGCTGGTTCCCCTTTCTCAACTTTGCTTGTCATATCCTCAAAGATCTCTAGTAAATTTGTTGACATGATTTCCCATTCACAAAACTATATTGACTCTGTTTGAATGCGTTAAGCTTCTCTAAATGTCCCGATATTTCTTTCTTAATAATGGACTCTAGAATTCTCCCATTAACAGATGTTAGGTCAATTGACTTATTGCTTCTTACTTTCAGTCTTCTTCCCCTCTTAAACAGAGATGTTAGCAGTTTTTGTCACATTAGTGGTTTCCAATCTGTTGAAACCCTTCCAGAATTGAGTGAGTTCTGGAATATTTCAACCAATGCCTTCACTATCTCAGCAGTTACTTCCTTTAAAACCCTTGGATGCAAGCCATCAGGTCCTGGTGACTTGCCTCCCTTTGGTCCCATTAGTTTGTCAAATATTTTGTATCTCATGACAGAGACAAAATAGATTAAAAAAGAGAAAACAAGGCTGAGTGCTTGACATGGTTGGAATGCACTTGATCATTTAGATTACATCACAAATCATATAATTACTGTGTGAAGTGAAATCGTAAATGTGTTCATGAACTTATTTATGATTTTAGTACAGAAGAAATGCCCTTCTCATAAGTGCAAAAAACGATGATTTATGAATACCAAACAAACACGAGCGCATTTGCATTCTCACTCCAGTTATTTTTCTTTTGAACTGATACATATAGTATTTCCAGCTTGTCAGCAAGCTTATTCCATTTGATTTTCCCACTAGAGTTCTTACTTCCTGATATGACAGTATTTTTCATGTCTTGCCAGTACTTATTATTGCTGCAGCCATTGATTCTCATCAACCAAATGGTGCTCATAATGACAGAAGATTATTTTCTTCTCTTCTGTATGATTTTAATATTAGATTTCAGTTGTTGCTCATAGCAAGACAGTGCTTTACCAATTAATAAAAAACTCCACTATGTTTGTTTATGATCCTCTTGTAGCAAGTACATAAAGAACAGATCTTGGCCAGTCATATAATGTGATAAATAAAGCTGTCTTTTGGGTAAGGAGATTGGGATTTTATCATTGGCAGGCATTTAAACCATTAATGGCCATACGTTTTTTTAGACATTTGGCGAAATTTCAAATAGGAAATTTGGATTTCAAGGTAATATGTCCCAAATCTCCCATATACTGGAAACAATCCTGGATAAATATCTCCATTCATGAGGCAACAATAACTCACTTCTACCTTTGTCACTCATGAATTATTTGTGGAGATATTTATCGTATTACCATAACATATTCTACTTAGAACACTTGGGTAGATTTACAACTCAGTGCTACAGCCCAGGAATATCAGCTGAAATGGTTTTTGATGTCACCTTGCCCTTGAGATGCGTACTTATGGAAATATAGTTTTTATTTTTATTGGTGATTCCCCAAATAAGCATTATAAATTACATCCCATCCTTTTCAGTGAGCGACAGTGGGAGGGTGCTGAGTGGAGTACCAGGAATTGTTTCTTTGTTATTCCTACTGTTTCTATTTTCTAATTGCAAATAGAATGGTAAAAATTGTAGATGATACTAGATTAGAAAGCAGCCTTGAAACACCTAAATGGGACTTCTAAACATTAAATGGCAGATAAATTTAATATGGATTAGTATCTATTGGATAAATGAATGAGCATTATATTGAAATAGTTAAGGGTAAAGTTAAAAAGAAATGTTGGGACTTTTCAAGGCCTAAAATTCAGCATCTCCAGTAACCACGAGAAAACAAACAACAAAGCAAATTGTATTCAAACTGTGTTGTGTCTTAATCAGAACAATATTAAAAACTGCAAGGAAAGACTTACATTTACATAGTGCATTAAATAACCTCAGGATGTCCTAAAGCCCTTTACAGCCATGAAATACTTTTGAAGTTGTAATGTCTTCAGGTAGGGAAATGCGGCAATCAATTTACAGGCACCCACAAATGACAATGTAATAATAGTTAAGTAATCTGTTCTCTGTGATGTTCAATGAAAGATAAACGTTGGTAGGGACATAAGGGAAAACGTCCCTGATCTTCTTCAGTATAATACTATAGGATGTTTCACTGCCATATAAGAGAGCAGAGGGGCTTTAGTTTAACTTCTTATTCAATAGTATAGGACTCCCATGGCACAGCATGAAGGTGTCAGCTGATAGAGCTATAACTATGAGACCAGTTCTAACCACTCATTTAGAGGAATCATCAAATTACGGCAATGATGAGTCACTGGACAGATTACTAACAATGTATGACTGGATTGATTATAGGGTTTGGAGAAAACCAGATCTGAGCCTTTAAAAGAGGCAAAGGAGAAGTGACCTGGAATTGCATTAAATGATGCAGGAAGGTAAATGCAGGCCACTTTGAATGAAACCATAACTTCAAGAACACATGCTCCAAACAGCAAAATTTAGTTCTGATGTTTGGAAATTCTTTTGTAATTAAAGAGAGTCAATACATGTGCGATGTATTTTAAACCAATGGAGTGTGCAGCTGATTGCCCTTACCTTCAGTCAGGAGTTGACCATAATTGTAAGGCATCAGCTTCCTTTACATTGGGCCAGTGAGCCTCCTTACAAAAGGTCTTTCCAAGACAGGAGTGTTAGACAGAATATCCACTTCACGGACCCTTATCATAAGCTTAAAAGAGCCGAGCTGAAAGGGATGTGAACTAAATTCCACTCAAATTATTGGTTCTATCTTCTTTCCCTCTAGATTTTCTGTCATCTCTGGCTTCCAAAATTTTAGGAACTTCCTGCATCCAATAACTTTTAGGTATAATTGGCACAAATGATCCACAGAAGCTATTAAATATTTGTATTGCCTGTGCTTGTAAATTATAGAAATCAACTGAGTTTGCTGGCATCATGCTGCCATTACCTGTATGTTTCCTGCTGTGCATCTGCAGGTGGGAGAGTTTGAAGTAGCGTTTATTACACCCAGGATAAGGACACATGAATGGACGCTTTTCGTTGGCTTCTGCGTTTGCTCTGACAATGGTTGGTGCAACTCCCGGGACTCTCCGAACATCCTGAAACAAGAAACACAAACAAAGATTAGACCGACTTTGGTCAAGTTAACAATGTTTCAGCTCATCTCTACCCTTGGTACATTGGAAATAAAATGAATTAGGGTATAATTTTGCATTGTAGTATTTAAATCTCAAAAATGTGAAGCTAGCTTGTTTGACACAAAGATTCAACAGAAGCATATCTAACCTTTTTTTTACAGTCAGTGAATCTTACAGCACAGAGAGACCATTCGACCATCATGTCTGTGCCATCTCTTTGTAAGATGTATCCAATCAGTCCCACTTTCCCAGAAATATTTACACAAACCCTACATATCTGTTTCCTTTTTATTATCTAATTTTCTTTTGAAAGTTACTGTTGAATTTTCTCCACAGTCCTGGCATCGTGGCCCCTTTCAGGTAGTGCATTCCAGACACAACTCATTGCTGCATAACAGTTTTGCTCCTCATATCCTCTTTGTTTTCCCAGGGAAACAGTGTCCATAACATGATAGAATTTAGAATTCTGATGGAAAGGAGAAAGTTGAGTGGGCAATAACTGTTAAACTTAATTAAGATTTGTGAAAGGAGTTTAGCAGCAAAGACAGTCGAGGAACAATGGCAGATATTTAAGAAAATAGTCTGTGATTAACAACAAATGTACATCCCAGTGAGAAAGAAGGATTCTAATAAGGAGACAAACCATCCATGGTTAACCATGCAAGTTCAGGATAGCATCAAATTGGATAAAAAAAAGTACGTTGTGGCAAAAATCAGTGGTATGTCAGAGGAATGGGAAAGGTTTAAAAACCAATGAGATAACCAAAAAAAATTACAAAGATGGAGAAGGTAAACTTTGAGGGTAAACTTGCAAGTTACACCAAGTCGAACATTAACAGCTTCTTTAAAAAGGCAGAGGGGGGCTAAAATTAACATGAGCCCCTTAGAGAATGAGGATTGGGAAATAATAATGCAGAACCAGGAAATGGCTGAGGAGTTGAATAAATACATTGCATCAGTCTTCACAGTAGAAGTTACTTGTAATATTCCAAAAATACTAACTAATCGAGGGGCAAAAGCAAAGAAAATTGCTAAGGAAGAGTCACTGGACCCAAAACGTTAACTCCGATGTTTTCTTCACAGGTGCTGCCAGACCTGCTGAGTTTTTCCAGCAACTTCTGTTTTTGCTCCTGATTTACAGCATCCGCAGATCTTTCGGTTTTTAATGAGGAAATTACCATGATAGCTACAACTTAAAAAAACTACCCTGGAAACTAAATGGGGGTAAAGACTGATAGATCCCCTGGACATGATGCCATGCTTCCTTGGATATTAAAAGAAGTTGCTATGGAGATAGAGGATGCACTGGTAGTAATTTTCCAAGTGTCCTTAGATTCTGGAAAATGCCAAAAAATTGCCAATGTGACATATTTGCTTATAACGTGAAGGAGAGTTTATAAAGACAGGCAACTATATGCCAATAAGCTTTACATTCATTATTGAGAAAATGTTAGAGTCTATTATAAAAGATGTAATAGCAGAGCATTTAGAAATATGTAATATGATCAAGCAGAGTCAGCATGACTTCATGAAGGGGAAATTAGACCTAGCAAGTGTATTAGAATTCCTTGAGGGGGTAACAAGCAGGATAAATGAAAGAGAAACAGCGGATGTAATATACTTAGATTTTCAGAAGACATTTGATAAGGTTAGTACATGTTAGGCTATTAAATAGGTGAGAGTTTGTGGTATTAGAGGCAGTATATTAGTATGGATACAGGATTGCTTAACTAATAAAAACCAGTGAGTTAGGGCAAGGAGGACATTTTCAGGATAACAACCTGGTGGAGAGCCACAGGGATCAACGCTGAGGCCACAGTTATTTGCATTATATGTTATTGACTTGAATGAGGAAAGTGAATGCACTATAGCCAAGTTTGCAGAATTCACAAAAATGGGTGGGAATGCAAGAGCTGGGGATGACACAGAGAACTGAGAAAGTTACAGGCAGGTTAAAGGTGTGGGCAAAAACTTAGCAGATCGAACATTATGTGGGAAAACGTGAGGTCCCATACTGGTAAGAAAAATAGAAGGAATAATTACTTTTGAAATGGAAAAAGACAGATTTTTAATCAGTAAGGGAATCAATAGTTATGATAATAAGACAGTTGAGGATCAGCTATGACCTCACTGAAAGGCAAAACAGATTTGATGGGGTGAATTGTTTCCTTCTGCTCCCATGTTTTACAGTCTTATGGTGGGCAATTATTCTAAATCCCTGTTCTCTGGTCATTGCCCTCCTGTAAGTGGAAATATTTTATCCTCTTTACTCCATAAACCCTTCAAGATATTGAACACATCTATCAAGTCTCCTCCTAACTTTCTGTGCTCTAGGTAAATTATCTCAGCTTCTCTGGTCTCTCACTTTATTGAAGTCCATTTATTCAGGTTAATGAATAGCCACAATATTGGAACTCTTCTGACACCTGTTCTAATGCATTTTTTTGTTGTCATAATGTATTAATACATTTGTGACATTTGTAACCCTAGAGATAAAGCATAAAATGCATCAGTACATCCATTCATTTAATAGGTGAAGCCTGCCATTCAGTACCCTTGGCCCCTACCACTCTGTGACATCAGATGTCTGCCTAATATTTGGACCTGTTATGACAATCAAAAAGATACATGATTCCTTCTTAACATCTGAACAAGGCCATTTGGAATCAGTAGTTTGCTACTAAATTAAGGTTGATAATATGAGGGGTTCACTACTGACAGAATTTTTACATAGAATCTTAAACACACTGAGGACTATGGATAAAGTGGCAGATTCAAGCCCACACCTCTTCATACAGTGAGCTGCTAACTGTAACCAAGAACAAAGAAAATCAGATGATGTGTCAACATTCTGAGACGAAAAAAAAGCCTTTATGTTTGGTTGAAAAGTAACATATTCTATGGGAGGCCATAGAGAAGGGATTAGATGTAACTTCTTGTTAGCAATACGATTCTTATGCATAATATGGAAATTTTGGGGCATTTAAGGAATCCAATTGGCCCAGTGTGTCCATGCCAGCCAAAACAAGTTATTCAAGTAGATCTCATCTTTCAGCTCTTGTCTGTAGCCCTGTACATTGCATTGCGTCTCCTGCATAACCAATTTTTTTTAATGAAATACGAAGTTCTGCCTCTGAGACCCTTTCAGGCAGTGACTTCTCTGGGTGAAAAATTACTCAAATCGCCTCTAATCCTTTTACCAATTACTTTAAGTCTAAGTTCTCCAGCATATTGACCTCTCTGATAATGGAAATAGATTCTTCCTATCCATTCTATCTGGGCCTCATATACTTTTAAACACCTCAATTAAATCTCGCTCCTGCCTTCTCTGCTTTGAGAAAACAAAGGAAATTATGTTTTTTTTAGAAGGCATGTTACTTTACAAGTCCTTATGATATATAATCTAAAATTATTGAGTATTCCTGTAATATTCATAGTCAAAGAACTCATCTGTGGGGCCCAATATACTATCTGTTTGGAAAAATATAGAATAAAATTATATTGTGGCAGCAGGGTCAACGATTTGTCACTTCAGTTTCTATTGAAAGAAATGGCATACAGATAGAAGCATGCTAGACAGTGAGGGTATTAATCAGGATGTCCCTATGTGAGAGGAAACCATGAATAATGTTTTATCAGTTTGTAATATATCAGAGAACAAGGTTCACTGATAGGATATTATAATGATTAATATAAAGTACTACAAATGCAGATAAAATCAGTACTGATTGAAATTATTTTGCCAACTCCTCAAACATATACAGCAGGTAAGGCTGATGGTTGTAAACCTTCAAATTGCTGCCACCTTGGCTGGTTTTCAGTGTGAGTCTTAAGCAAATGATAGAACGAGTGTTGAATCCACATTTTTTCAACCTGTTGATAGAAAACAGAATCTCCTTTGCCCTGCTCCTGTAGTGTTGAAAAAATCTTAAATTAGAACCATCTGTATACATGAGTGGTTTGTGTAGTCCAGTCTGCTTTCACAAGGTCAGATGCAAAGGTTTAACTTTCTTGAAAGACTGTAACAGATGCATATGTGGGAAGAAAGAAATATTGCCATCACTCACCTGAAGCCCTCTGAACACCCCATGTGTATGTATCCTGTATTGTGTGCTACAGCTGTATAACATAGGGGCATTGTGATTGTCAGTCTCGTATCCTGTCGCGTGGCTGTAAGGATAGTAAGAACAAAATGATTCTCAGTAATCATATTCTCCATCTGCTGGAATTTGGCATTGCATGCTGGCATTTATTACCTTAATAGATGAATGTACAATACTATAAGAAAACTGTAATTTTAACATTAGCCATAAAACATTTTGAGATTCCAATGAAACACATTTTTTAAGTTGTAGTCACGGTTGTTCTCAAAGGAAACAGCAGTCAATTGGCACATAGCAAGCTCCCTCAAATAGTAGTGTGATAATTGACCAGATAATCTGTTCGAGATATTGGTTGCAGGATAAATATTGGCCACGACACCAAGGAGAACTCCTAACTGTTCTTCAAATAGTGCGATGGAATCTTTTACGTCAATACAGCCCATATGATTCAACAAAAATTCCAGAAGCTATTCCAGGTGCCAGTCCACAAAATATCAGATTTACTGGATTAGATTTCATCACTTGTTTGTCATGAGTTTTGAGCTCCCAGTACTCTGGCTTACTGTTTCAATATTGTGTATTACACTACCGTGCACAAGTAGATGCTGTGAGATTGTCATTTTGAGAATATGAAGTGCACATAAAGTTAAGAAAAAATCTTTAAGAGATTTCATTTGCCTTAGATGTACCTGCACTTCGGAGGGTAGCAAGTTGCCTTTGCAAGAGAGAGTTGTGGGTCAATCCTGCTTCAACATCTCAAATATAAAATCCGTAAAGGCATTCCAATGTTGTCTTTTAAATGAGATGTTAAACCAAGACTCCATTCACACTCTTAATGGAAGGTGAAGGATCCCATAACACTATTTTAAAACAGAGCAGTTCTACCTAGTGTTAATTGATTTTAAGTTTCCAAACATAGACTGGGACTACCATAGTGTTAAGGACTTGGATTGTGAAGAATTTGTGAAATGCATTCAAGAAAATTTTCTTTATCAATGTCTACACATTGTACACATCTACACATGTACCAACTAGAGAAGGAACAAAACTTAACCTCTTGGGAAATAAGGCAGGACAGTGACTGAAGTGTTAGTGGGAGAACACTTTGGGACCAGTGAACATAGTTTCAAAACAGTTATGGAAAAGGAAAGGTCTTGTATAAAAGTTAAAGTTCTTAGTTCGAGTAAGGCAAATTTTCAAAAGTTGATTGGAGTAGACTGTTCGCAGGTAAAGGGATGACTAGCAATGGGAGGCTTTCAAAAGTGCGATAACAAGAGTTCAGAAGCATTATGTTCCTTTTAGAGCGAAGGGTAAGGCTGGTAAGAGTAAGGAACCAAAGTTGAATAAAGATAATGAGGCTCTGGTCAAGAATAAGAAGGAGGCATATATTGACAACTGGGAACAAGTGAGTCCTTTGAAGAGTATAACATGTGTAAGGGCATTCTTAAGAGGGAAATCAGGAGGTCAAAAAGCGAATATAAGGCAGCCTTGGCAGATAAGGTTAAGGATAATCCAAAGAAATTCTACAAGTACATTAAAAGCAGAAGATCAACTGGGGAGAGAGTAAGGTCCCTTACCGATCAATGAGGTCGTTTATACATAGAACCACGTGAGATGGGAGTGATACTAAACAAATATTGCGTGTCAGGTTTTACTGTGGAGAAAGACATTGAGGCTAGTGAACTCAGGGAAATAAATATTGATGTCTTGAAAACAGTCCACATTACAGAAGAGGAGGTGCTGGGGTCTTAAAAAAAACATAAAGGTATATAAATCACCAGGACCTGATCAAGTGTATAACAGGACTTTGTGGGAAGTTAGGGAAGAAATTGCAGGTGCCTTAGCAGAGATATTTGTATCATCTACAGCTACAGATGAGGTGCTGGAGGACTGGAGGGTGGCTAATGTTGTGCCTTCCTTTAAGAAAGGCTGTAAGGAGAAGCCTGGGAACTATAGACAGGCGAGTCTGACATCAGTGGTGGGTAAGTTGTTGGAGGGGCTTCTGAGAGATAGGATTTTAATGCATTTGGAGAGGCAAAAACTGATTAGGGATAGTCAGCATGTTTTGTGCATGAGAAATCATGTCTCACAAACTTGATTGAGTATTTTTGAGGACATAACTTAAAAGATTGATGAGGCCAGAGCAATAGATGTTGTCTAAATGGATTTTAGTATAGCACTTGACATGGTTCCGCAAAGTAGACTGATTATTAAAGTTGATCACATGGGATTCAGGGAGAGATTGCCAATTGGATACAAAATTGGCTTGATAGTAGGAGACAGAGAATGGTGATAGAGGGTTGTTTTTTGGACTGGACACCTGTGACCAGAGTTGTTCCACAAGGATCAGTTCTAGGTCCACTGTTGTTTGTCATTTATATAAACAATTTGGAAGGGAATTTAGGAGGCATGAATGACACCAAAATTGATGGTAGAGCCAACAGTGAGGAAGGTTATCTAAGATAACAAAGGGACCTTAATCAATTGGGCTGAAGGACTGAGGAATGGCAAATGGAGTTTAATTTAGATAAATGTGAGGTATTGTATTTTAGTAAAACAAACAATGACAGGACTTATACAGTTCATGGTAGGACCCTGCGTAGTATTGTTGAACAGACAGACCTAGGCATTCAGGTATTTAGTTCTTTGAAAGTTGCATCACAGGTAGACAGGGTAATTAAGAAGGCATCTAGCACACTCGCCTTCATTGCTCAGACCTTTGAGTATAGGTGTTGGGATGTCACGTTGGGATGTACAGGATGTTGGTGAGGCCACTTTTGGAGTACTGTGTACAGTTCTGGTCACCCTGCTACAGGAGGATTTTATTAAATTGGAGATGGTTCAGAAAAGATTTACCAGGATGTTGCCGGGAATGGAGGTTTTGGGTTATAAAAATAGGCTGGGTCATTTTTCACTATAACATAGAAGGTTGAGAGGTGACCTTATAGAGGTTTATAAAGTCATGAGGGGCATAGATAAGGCAAATAGCAGAGGTCTTTTCCCTGGGGTGAGGGAACTCAAAACTAGAGAGCATATTTTTAAGGTGAGAGGAGGAAGATATAAAAGGAACCTGAGGGGCATCTTTTTCACACAGAAGGTGGTTTGTATGTGGAATGAACTACCAGAAGAAGTGGAGATGCAGGTACAGTTACAACATTTAAAAGATATTTGGATAGGTATATGAATAGGAAAGGTTTAGAGGGATCTGGGCCAAATGCAGGCAAGTGGGACTAGTTTAGTTTGGGAAACTTGGTTGGAATGGATGAGTTGGATTGAAGGGTCTCTCTCCGTGCTGTACGACTATGACTCTATAACCCTATGGTGTCTTGGTTACAACTACAAAGGACAAAGAATAATACAGCACAGGAACAGGCCCTTCGGCCCTCCAAGCCTGCACCGCCACATATTGCCTTTCCGTACTAAAATTATCTTCACTTAGAGGATCCATATCCCTCTATTCCCTTTCTATTCATGTATTCTTCCAGGTGCCTCGTGAATGCTGCTACTGTGTCTGTTTCCACCACCACCTCTGGCAGTGCATTCCAGGCACTCACCACCCTTTCTGTGAAAAACATGCCTCGCACATCTCTTCTAAACTTCTCCCATCACACCTTGAACCTGTGCCCCTAGTAATTGACCCCTCCACCCTGGGAAAAAACCTCATACTTTCCACTCAATCCATGCCATTCACAATCTTATAAACTTCTATTAGGTCTCCCTTCAACCTCCTGCATTCCAGTAAAAACAAACCCAGTCTTGAACAAGGGGTCCTACAATAGTGAATTGAGAAGGAATTTCTTCACCCAGAGGGTTGTTAATCTATGGAATTCCTTGCCCAGTGAAGTAGTTGACGCTACTTCAGTAAATGTTTTTAAAAAAAAGGTAGATTTTTTTTGAACAATAAAGGAATTAAGGGATACGGTGAGAACGCGGGTAAGTGGATCTGAGTCCATGAAAAGATCAGCCATGATCTTATTGAATGGCGGAGCAGGCTCGAAGGGCCAGACGGCCTACTCCTGCTCCTAGTTCTTATGTTCTTCTTATGTTCTATCCAACCTTTCTTCATAACTGAAATCCCTCATACCAGGCAACTTCCTGGTAAACCTTTTCTGTACCCTCTCCAAATCATTCACATCCATCTGGTAGTGAGTGGTGACCAGAACTGTACATAGTTTTCCAAGTGTGGCCTAACTAAAGTTCTATAAAGCTGCAGCATAATTTGTCCATCCATATACTCAGTACCCCTACCAATGAAGGCAAGCACACCATAAGCCCTTTTTAATACCTTATCTACCTGTCCTGTCATCTTTAGCGATCTGTGGACCTGCACACCCAGATCCCTCTACATATCAATACTCCTAACGGTTTTGCCATTTACTGTATAATTTCTACACGTACTTCACCTCAAATTTATCCCTCACTAAACTAAACAGATTATCTATTCAAAATAATGATGCCCTTGTGGAATCTTACTCTGCACAAATTTAGCTGCCAGTTTTCCCAAAACAGTAACGAAACACAAATGAAGAATGTGTGCTGGAATGTCCTGAGACCACAAAAAATGCAAGTCTTTATTTTATCCTTCAATATTTGGGGAGCATCTTTTTCTCTGTCATCTTTGAGCACCTGTCCCATTTGTTTGGAAACATTAAATCATTGCATTAATTTTTAGCAGTGTGAACATTTGCACAAATGAAAAAGAACTATTTCAATTCAAAAGGTTCTCAGTCATCCATTGTTTGACATGTTTGCCAATTTGGGTGGGGGTGGAGTTGTGAGGACAGATGGTGCTGAAGGATGTGAGGGCCTCCTGTAATGGAAAGGTGCATAACATATATTTTTGGAATGATGCAGATTAATACTGTGAAGGTTTTTTTTGAAAAAGTCAGAAAATTATTCTGGAACAGTGCTCCGTATACATCAGTTTCAAGACAATATATGACTGCGGTCATACTGCAGCCCCCTGTGGTGTTAATGGAATATAATGTTTATGTGAGATTGTAGACTTGCTCGCCGAGCCAGTGTGTTTGTTTGCAGACGTTTCATCACCCTGCTAGGTAACATCAT